GTGTGTAAGTGGTGAAACACCAAACTAATGTGCCTGGATCTGGACAATAAAGATGTATCTTCTCCATCTCATCTTATTTAATCTAATCTAATCTTATCTTTTCTTGTCTATCTTATCTTATCATTCGATGATTGCCTAGATCTACGTCACTTTTGGGGCAAATGGAGCAACGGCGACCTCAAGATAATTAATTGATTCATTGATTCCCCGAGTTTCTGCCCTAAAATTATTTTAAACTTTAAATTTTAATAAAAACTAAACAAAAGTTTTTCGTGGTTTTGTGTTTGTTTGTTTGTTTGTTTGTTTGTTTGTTTGTTTGTTTTTTGTTTTGTTTTGTTTTTTGTTAAACTGTGTGTCGTGCCTGTTTTGTAAGTGCAACAGTTTCTGTTATTCTTTATCAAAAACGCCAAAACAATTACTCAGGCAATTATCGAATAAGAGTGGCGAAATGGTAAAGGTTCAACTCCCAGTCAACACTATTAGGTTATTTAAGAGGTGGGACCTCCGAGTTTGACGTCTATTTCAGAAAGGTCTGAGCCGAGTGGGAAATTCGTGTAAAGTGCCTTTCCCCAAGGACACAACGTCGGATCGAGATGAGGCTCGAACCCCCGAACCCGCAATCTCACGATTAAAGGTTTGGCATGGCAGTCTAACCACTAGACTACAAATGCCACTCTGAGAAGAAGAACCGTAATTATGAATAAAATAAATTGCTACCCTAGAATTGGTCACTTTTAAGCACAAGGAGGCTATCCCAAAAAATGCTGTTTTGAGAAAACCGAAGGTAAAGTTTTTGCCCCTTGTTCAGTTTCTTTAAAAGACAAGGAGAGTTTTCTCTATAACCAAACAAATATACACACCAAAGAAACCAAACTTCTCCTACAGGTTGGGCAATGCCCTCTTTTGGTATAGGTCAAGATTTCAGTAAACACCCGAAATCTTGGTAAGCCCGCTTGTCCTTAAAAGCGACCAATTACGTTATTCTGTCTGTCGTTTTGAGTTACTGAGGTCATGAGGTCAGAAACCAATGTGTTATCTGTTCTATCAAAATCGTACTGTTGCTCGGAGTGATTATCAAGACATTCAAAGACTTACACTTGAAAAGGCTTGATATGTTGGCAAACTCAAACTTTTTCACGTCAAATTTCTCCAAACTGGGTACGGAGCAAATTGGGGGGGGGGGGGCTCTTCAGGTCTAGAGATTACGGTCTTCGCCTGTCATTCAATAGGTCTCGGGTTCGTAACCTGACAGCAACGAAAAATGTTCTGCTCCGAAATGTTCTCCATAAATCTCCTTTCCTCGTCCTACCATGTTCTGTCATCTGCTTTCGTCTCCACTTTGCCGATGTTAAAGATACCATCGTGGTCCAAAATCGATGATGCAAGATTCTAGGCTTCCGCCGCCATCCGGGTAAAATTCAAAATTTCAAACCAAACTGGAAATATGTAATGTGTCCCGCACGCTCATTTGACCTTATGCAATTGTGAGCGCCGTAAAACACTTACCAAGAAGAAAAAAAAGATAGTGAGGAGATAGCACTGTACAATTCTAGGGTAGCGAAACAGGAAGATCTCTCTTCGGGTACACGGACACCCCCAACCCCAAAGACCCATCGAATTTCTTATGTAGAGCCGATCAGACTTTGATCTTCAGAGCCCGCACAGGACACTTACACACCAACAAGCACATAAACAGAATCAATCCCATGTGGGAACCCCATTGCAGACACTGTGACTATCATGAGGAGACCGTTGAACATCTTCTCCTTCACTGCTCGCAGCTAAAATGGGTTTGAAAACAACAACAAACAACAACAGGGTAGCGAAATATCGTTTGCGGGCACGTATGTCTCTCTTGTAACACATCGCTACTACAGACTTACAAAGTTGTATCTGCTCACTGCCTAGATAGGAGAAACTTGTTACGAATTTTGAGTTACACAACATGTCAAACGTTTTCGAATGCAATTCTTTGAATATCTATTCTAAGCGCATAGAGCATTGCATAAGTGAATATGAGTTATATAAATGCAGTCCATTATTATTATTATTATTATTATTATTATTATTATTATTA